GGTTAATTTGGGCATGTCTGGACATACTCAGCGCAGAGGTGTCGGCCGTTTGGGCTGAGGGCCATTTTTTTGAGTAATCACGTCAAAGCAAGGGGGGCGAACAGATGGAAAAAGGCTTGACTCATTCACAAAGTGGGAATAAACGAATTGGGAACAAAGAGTTGTTGAATACCAAAAGACGGTTTGGGAACAGCTGTCGCGCCCAGGTGGACATTTGTCATCAGCAAAGTCTGTGACTTGTGTATTCGGGTAGATTAGATCACTTCCAAGGGGCCGGACCGGGGGGCGCGGTATGCAAATCTTGGGGGCAGTGTTTTTCTTGTATTTTGCAATAAAAGTTCGAACCGGTGGAGAGGGAGCTGAGTGTGTGATCATCGGGGCAACTACCGTCGTTCGCTCTCAGAGATCCCTCCCGCCGATATTGAAGACAATTTTCCCTGTGTGCCGAGTCATTTCTTTTACTTTGTCCGAGAAAAACTCTGACACATACTTCAGACTTAGTTCTTGCTTATGGTCGACTGCTTATGGTCAACCAGTGTTAAACTTCGAAGTCTGGGAAAATTTGATTTCTGATAAGATAAGAAATCCTTTATTAGTCTCTTTACTTTACCTCTTTACCTCACCTTACCTCTCTGAGCTCATCCGCCCCTACACACCAGCCCGGCGCCTCAGGTCTGTGGACCAGACATTATTAGAAGTACCAAGAACTAAACTGAGGCTCAGATGGGATCGAGCCTTTTCTGTTGCTGGTCCCTCTCTCTGGAATGACCTCCCACTGAACATTCGGCAAGCCTCCTCGCTGCCCATCTTTAAAACCCGCCTCAAAACGCACTTGTATTCTTTGGCATTTGACTCAGCATGACTCAGATTTGTTCTTGGTTTTGCTGTTCGGTGCTTTCTACCGTCTTTGTTACCGATTTGCTTTACTGTTTGTTGTATATGTTAATTGCTCCATGTACAGCACTTTGGATGCAACGACGGCTGTTTGAAAGTGCTCTATAAATACAGTTGAGTTGAGATTTAAGCAAGGATCATGGAAGTTGACACAGATGATTAGCTTTTGCGGGCCACATAAAATGACGTGGTGGGCTGGATCTGGCCTCCGGGGCTTGACTTTAACACATGTGGTTAAATGGAAGGTCATTCCAATAGGAGGGATCAGTTCGATCCACTCTAAGGTTTTGCTTAGTTTTCGGTACCTCCAGTCGCGTCTGGGCTGCTGATTTGAGGCACTGGGCAGGTGTGTAGAGGTAGAGAACCTTAGAGAGGTAAGGCGGGGCCAGACCATTTCAAGATTTGAAGACAAAATATTCTTAAACTCTAACTAGCATTAGGTAGCAGTGTGTGTCCCCACTTGCTGTAGGCGCAGGTTCCTGCTGCATCGCTGCATTGGGGCCTCCAAGCCGGTGGCTTGTGACCACGGTCTTTGGCCTGGTCCTGGTGCAGACAGCTCCTTGATATCTGGTTTCCTCACCTGGATGCTCTGTGCCCAGCCTCAGTGTTCTTTGATCATTACGGTATTACTTTTAAATAATACAGTGGTACCTCTACTTACGAACGTCTCTTCATACGAAATTTTCAAGTTACGAAACGTCTCAACAGGAAAATATTGCCTCTTGTTACGAAAGAAATTTCAAGATACGAAAGTTAAAAATACAATATGGGCCGCTACATGCAGCTCCGAGTTTCCTGAACGCAACATACTTATAGCGACTCTGCCATTGGCTATTAGTTAGCATCTTCCTGGCATCCCATTGGCTAAGAGGGGCCTCTATCGTATGCGTCTATGTGTGTGGATAGATAGTTAGGTGTCGATGCAGCGTCCTCGTCATTCGCCCCTCAGCCCATGAGGTGTTCCGATAGTTTTAGGTAAATGTAAATCACCCACAAAAAGTGTTAACCAGTCGGGCGATCGCTCACTATGCTGATGTTTGCCTTGGACATTTTCGAAGGTTTGTTAAAAGCCGACAAAAGCAAACTTCCTTGGAGCAGTTCTTTACAAAATGCTGGCCAAAAACCACAAAAATATAGACTAAAGATTGCAAAAAACAATGAGGACACAGTTAAGTTAAATGACCATTATTTTTATTCTTTACTCCATTCTTTGTTTTTGACATTATGCAAATTCTCATTTATTGAGGAATAATCAATTTGTAACATGTATTTGTTACATATTTTGATGCATGTTTATGCTTTGGGAAAAATTTATGTCGGAATTTTAGGGGGCTTGGAACGAATTAGGGCATTGACATGGAAAATGCATCTCAACTTACAAAAGTTTCGAGTTCAGAAATTTCTTCTAGAACCAATTAATTTCGTAAGTAGAGGTACCACTGTACGTTTTTGTGTGTGTGTGTGTGTGTGTGTGTGTGTGTGTGTGTGTGTGTGTGTGTGTGTGTGTGCCTGTTTGTGTTGCTGTGGCACCAAGGGGAGGTTTGACATTACAGGATGACAGTTGAAAACAATTCAACAGAGGGTATCTTATTTATTTTGGGGGGATACTTTCCTCCTCCTGAGACTTTTGAGTATTTGTTGTTTTTGGGATCAAAATAAGAAGAAAAGTAAAGCGGCCACATCAGCTCGGAGTCGCAGCCAATGCGCGAGCTGTCAAGTTTGTTTCCGTCTCACCCTTGCTAATGAGAAAGAGCCCAAAAAATGAAATCTCACAACCGTAGAAATTGAGGTTATCGTGTCAGAGGTGGAGGCAGGAATAACAACGCTTTTTCAAAAAGTTCTGAATTTCATATAAAAACCGACAGACATTGTCAATGCAGTGTCACTTGAAGTGGCAGGTCCTGAAAAAGTGGTTTGATATGAAAGTGGATGCAAAGAAAAGAATAGCAGACCAGAAAAAAAACTGGAGGAGGATAAGCACCATATGATCTCACTCCAGAGGATGAGTGATTGGCAGCTGTAATAGGAAATGCTGACATTTCTAGAGGATGTGAACAGAATGAGGATGTAAGTGATGACCTTCATCCTTCATTTAAAGGGGACATAGCATGCTAAATTTACTTTTTGGAGCTTCGATCCATGTTGAAAGGCAAATTCCAAACCCAATATATCCCCAAATTGGTGTTTTCCTGCATTCACCCATCTCGGGGCAGTCCTGTTGATTCCTGCTCTCTAATCAAAGCACCCCTCCCATTTCAACAAAACTGGGTCCTCACTTTTCTACGTCCCAAAGGGAGTATGTATTGGGCGTAATGTTAGCATTGTATTAGTATATAGATATCAATCTCTCTCTCTCTCTCTCTCTCTCTCTCTCTCTCTCTCTCCCCCCCATTTTTCCAATCTGGTTCATCCTCACAAGGGTCGTTGGGGGTGCTGGGGCCTATCCCAGCTGTCTTCGGGCAGGAGGCGGGGGACACCCTGAATCAGTTGCCAGCCAATCGCAGGGCACACAGAGACGAACAACCATCCACGCTCACACTCACACCTAGGGACAATTTCAAATGTTCAATCAGCCTGCCATGCATGTTATTGGACTGTGGGAGGAAACCGGAGTACCCGGAGAAAACCCACGCAGGCACGGGGAGAATATGCAGACTCCACACAGGAAGGCAGGAGCCAGGATCAAACCCACGTCCTCTGCACTGTGAGGTCAACGTGCTAATCAATCAACCACCATGCCGCCATACCTACAGTGTGTTGAACGAAATTCTAAATGTTGTTATTGTAATCTTTAAAAAAACATAAAATGCAGGAATCTTACCTAGAGGCAGTTTGAGAAAGGATGGAACCTCTCGAAGATACCGCACAGTGATGATGACTTCATCACCGGCGGTGCGCAAGAGGTGAACCTGATGGACAAAGAAAATAACGATGAAAGTTTTAGCAGTGAATGAGCAACTTAAAATCAGTGCAGCAAAAGAAATAAGCTTGAAAAGATTTAATGCACACCTTTTCTTTTAGATGTGTAGTTCGTAGCCAACAAAACAAAGACTAAACAAGATTGAAAATGTGTAATCATTAGAAGTGTAACAAGCCATCTATATAATCGATGTATCTGTGTCTACTGTGTGATCAGGATACAGTACATCGGCCGTAGCTGAACTCCTCTCCAAGATGGTGGCCACACATTGTCACATCCATCCATCCATCCTTTTTCTGAACCACTTTATCCTCACAAAGGTCACAGTGAGTGCTGGAGCCAATCCGTCTTCGGGCACGAGGTGAGGGACACCCTGAACCAGTTGCCAGCCAATCGCAGGGCACACAGAGACTAATAACCATCCGCGCTCACACTCACACCTAGGGACAATTTGGAGTGTTCAATCAGCCTACCATGCATGTTTATGGAATGTGGGAGGAAACCGGAGTACCCAGAGAAAACCCACGCAGGCACGGGGAGAATATGCAAACTCCACACAGGAAGGCCAGAGCTGGAATTGAACCCGATATCTCTGCACTATGAGGTCGACACGCTAACCACTGGACCACCGAGCCGCCCTCGGCACAACATAAGTTATAAATTACTGAGCGATTTAATTGAAAATAAGTAACGAAATAAAATAATTTTATACTCATAATTCCTCTGTCCCTTTTGTTTTTTATTTAAATTTAAATGTTATTTTTAGTCGACTATTATTCATCTTTCACTCAAACGGGTCATCTCCAGTCACCGCTGGGGATTTATGTCACACATGCAACATAGATCATAACAGATTGTCATCGATCATGGAGGTGAGGAAAAAGATATTTATAAGTCAAAGCCATACGTTCATTTTGGATTTTGAAAATCAGGAAATGGTCTTGACAAGATGGTTGCCACATATAGCTTTTGCAAATGCAGAGTGAAATGAGATCTATGGCGCTATTAAGCCATTCAGAAACCCCTCACACGGTTCCCATCCTTCGAAACACTTGTTACACTTTTAATAAATTGATAAAAAAAGAACAGAGATCTTCAAAAAACATTAAATGAATAATTACAAACAGTATGTTCAAGCGCAGCGGTTGTGAAAGCGCTTTATAAATCAGGATGTATTGTATTGTAAATATGAAGTATCTTAATTTTGCTTCATCGTTCTACCATTGTCATTTTTGTTCTTGTGAATGACAATAACTCAATTGTAACTGGGAAACTAAAAAGTTATCAGAATCAGATTTAATGGCCAAGTATGTAACACACAAATTACTTTCCCATTTACAACCCGTCCAGAAGCACGTAAACAAAGCAAGGACGAACAGAGGGAGACAGAACGGGAAGCCTGGCGAGTCCCCTGTAAGTGCCCTGATATCTTGGATAACGATAGCGGAGAGGAGGAAAAAAAAGTACGACAGACTCTAAGCCAGTGGTTCTTAACATGGGTTCAATGGAACCCTAGGGGTTCGGTGAATCGGTCTCAGGGGTTCGACAAAGCCTCTGCCATGTAGGTTAAGACACACCCGACTCAAGATGTCAATTAGTTATGACACACCCGCTTGGCCATCGCTGGCTGCAGATGATCACATGACATTGCTTGTCCAAACAGTGCTGCGGGAAATTTAGTTCACTCAGTCATCAATGTGTGATTGTCCTGATAGTACGTCATACAATTTAAATAACCTATAGTTATGCCATGTAATTTTATTTACTTTTTCCCTGTTTTTAATAAATGTGTTTTTTAAATGTCTTGAATTGGTAAAAAGACATATTTTTACTTTATTTTTAAATTAAGGGTTCGGTGAATGTGCATATGAACTGGTTGGGTACGGTACCTCGAACAAGATTAAGAACCACTGCTCTAAGCATTCCCCTTAAAAGTATGTATGTATTAAATGTTGCATACATTTAAAAGACATTTACAACAAATCTGTCGACTTAACATGTAGTGACTGTCTGTGTGACCATCTATTTGTATTTTATGTTCATGTTTCTAAAATATTTTTTTGTAATTTAACTCTGGCTAGAAAAGAGGCACATAAAATAAGACTTGTCTTCTTTCTGCCCCGTTTCATTCTATTATTTTGTTCTTTTTCTTTTTCACGATGTGGTGACTGAAAACATTTCTCTGTTGTACACTACCAACCAGTCGATTGAAACTTAAAATGTAAAAACGTTTGCGAGCGCACACAGCACTGGCTGTGAGCCCATCACTTGTGTCCTAGTTGGATGTTGACTTCTAGCTTCCAGTCCAGCGATCGTGAGCCAAGTTCAGTGAGTGATTTCCCCTTGGGCAGTGGATTATAAAAGTATTGCTATTATTCCAAATGATCGCTACCTCAAGGTCATGTGTGAGGCATCCCCTGGTCCCTTGCTGTTCTGGTTACAGTTCACACACTTGTTCAATAGAGGAGAAGATGCATTGCAACGACTTTCTTCGTGTGAGGCCATATTGAAATGGTGTACGTATTGCGTATATGCAATGAAGTCCGTAAGCCCGTCAGAACACGTTTTCTCTATTGCAACAAAGGTTCTCTAACTATTTTTGGACTCGACCAGGCTACTTCCTCGGTCATTGCGGTTGATGATCAGATGTAAAATAAGTACATACAATACATTGGATTGGATTGGATACAACTTTATTGTCAAATGTGCTGTATGTACATGTACATACATCTACACCTTTATCCAAAGCCCTTACCAAAATTGAACGGGTCATTCATCCATGCATCCATCCGTTTTCTAATTCGCTTATCCTCACGAGGGTCGTGGCGCGTGCTGGTTCCTATCCCAGCTGTTTTCAGGCGTGCTGGAGCCCATCCCAGCTGTCTTCGGGCAGTAGGTGGGGTACACCCTGAACTGATTGCCGGCCAGTCGCAAGGCACACATACACCAACAACCATCCCCACTCACATTCACACCTAGGGACAATTTAGAGATCTCCATTAACCTGCCATGCATGTTTTTGTAATGTGGGAGGAAACCGGAGTACCCAGAGAAAACCCACGCAGGCACGGGGAGAATATGCAAACTCCACACAGGAAGGCCAGAGCTGGAATTGAACCCGATATCTCTGCACTATGAGGTCGACACGCTAACCACTGGACCACCGAGCCGCCCTCGGCACAACATAAGTTATAAATTACTGAGCGATTTAATTGAAATAAGTAACGAAATAAAATAATTTTATACTCATAATTCCTCTGTCCCTTTTGTTTTTTATTTAAATTTAAATGTTATTTTTAGTCGACTATTGTTCATCTTTCACTCAAACGGGTCATCTCCAGTCACCGCTGGGGATTTATGTCACACATGCAACATAGATCATAACAGATTGTCATCGATCACGGAGGTGACGAAAAAGATATTTATAAGTCAAAGCGATATGTTCATTTTGGATTTTGAAAATCAGGAAATGGTCTTGACAAGATGGTTGCCACATATAGCTTTTGCAAATGCAGAGTGAAATGAGATCTATGGCGCTATTAAGCCATTCAGAAACCCCTCACACGGTTCCCATCCTTCTAAACACTTGTTACACTTTTAATAAATTGATAAAAAAAGAACAGAGATCTTCAAAAAACATTAAATGAATAATTACAAACAGTATGTTCAAGCGCAGCGGTTGTGAAAGCGCTTTATAAATCAGGATGTATTGTATTGTAAATATGAAGTATCTTAATTTTGCTTCATCGTTCTACCATTGTCATTTTTGTTCTTGTGAATGACAATAACTCAATTGTAACTGGGAAACTAAAAAGTTATCAGAATCAGATTTAATGGCCAAGTATGTAACACACAAATTACTTTCCCATTTACAACCCGTCCAGAAGCACGTAAACAAAGCAAGGACGAACAGAGGGAGACAGAACGGGAAGCCTGGCGAGTCCCCTGTAAGTGCCCTGATATCTTGGATAACGATAGCGGAGAGGAGGAAAAAAAAGTACGACAGACTCTAAGCCAGTGGTTCTTAACATGGGTTCAATGGAACCCTAGGGGTTCGGTGAATCGGTCTCAGGGGTTCGACAAAGCCTCTGCCATGTAGGTTAAGACACACCCGACTCAAGATGTCAATTAGTTATGACACACCCGCTTGGCCATCGCTGGCTGCAGATGATCACATGACATTGCTTGTCCAAACAGTGCTGCGGGAAATTTAGTTCACTCAGTCATCAATGTGTGATTGTCCTGATAGTACGTCATACAATTTAAATAACCTATAGTTATGCCATGTAATTTTATTTACTTTTTCCCTGTTTTTAATAAATGTGTTTTTTAAATGTCTTGAATTGGTAAAAAGACATATTTTTACTTTATTTTTAAATTAAGGGTTCGGTGAATGTGCATATGAACTGGTTGGGTACGGTACCTCGAACAAGATTAAGAACCACTGCTCTAAGCATTCCCCTTAAAAGTATGTATGTATTAAATGTTGCATACATTTAAAAGACATTTACAACAAATCTGTCGACTTAACATGTAGTGACTGTCTGTGTGACCATCTATTTGTATTTTATGTTCATGTTTCTAAAATATTTTTTTGTAATTTAACTCTGGCTAGAAAAGAGGCACATAAAATAAGACTTGTCTTCTTTCTGCCCCGTTTCATTCTATTATTTTGTTCTTTTTCTTTTTCACGATGTGGTGACTGAAAACATTTCTCTGTTGTACACTACCAACCAGTCGATTGAAACTTAAAATGTAAAAACGTTTGCGAGCGCACACAGCACTGGCTGTGTCCCATTCACTTGAAGGAACACCACAGCCGAGGCTCCCTCAGCAGTCACCCGGCCCGAAGGCCATGGCATCGCCTTGGTGGCGGTGAAGATGGTTGATTGTTGGTGGGGTGACGAATGACTCGGGCGCTGGAGAGTGAGAGTGACGACGATTAAGTCGTACTTTTACATCGGATTACTGTACAAATTGGCGAGTTCT